ATTAGAGCTTCGGAAACTTTACAGGCGGCTTGTGTAGTTAAGTTCAAACAATGGTGGTCATGAGATCAATTTCAATAGATCTGGCCGAAGACCAGCTAGTAGAATCTTATGATTACATACAAAGGTGAATGTAAGGACGCATATAAAATTTGGGTTTGTGTTGTAAGGTTTTCCAAAAAATAATATTATGTTGCTAAATGTAATATTTACAGTGTGTTTATAATGACTTGTATAGCAACATCATATCCATGATAGCTATTAAAATCACTTTACCTGGCTTCGTTCCAAGAGTCGCCTTTAGGACATTATTTTGTGCTCCACCATAACCGTATTGACCTCCAAATGTAATGCCCTGTTGAAGCTAAAGACCAGCTCCTTTGTTCTTGGAACCCTAAAAGTCAAGATTCTTATTTTAAAAGTAGCTTTGGGAAGTTATGTGCAAACAGTAATAAATACTTTAGACCAAAGACTAGAGGAATCCATTGCCTTATCTGGAAGTATTAAGCAAAAAAAAAATCTTTCTGTTAATTCTATAACATTAAAGCTATCTAAAAAGTAACCTGGTAATGAAAATCTTGAAAACTACCTCTTTAATTATGTATATCAAATGTGAATAACATTGGACAATCAATTTTCAAAGGTCACTCTTGAATTGATTAGTTTTAAGCTCTTGCGTCCAAGACAAAATGAATTAAAGCTTTTTACTGTGGTATCTGCCATTAGCCAGGCAAGTCATGCCTCTTGTAACACCACTCTGCCAATGGAATTATCAAATATGTACCCATTTCAGAGAGAAAGATCCCATGATAGTTTTTGCTTTTTCATTCCACAGTAGGGGGCTTGTTCTTGAAATGGATTTTAAGAGATCAATCAGATGATTGGAACACCAAAATCATCGTAAGTTAAATTTTTAAGATTAGGAAAATTTCACAGAATAGGAATTGTGATTTAAATTGACATATATGTAGGTAGGTACTGACCGTGCTACGTTGATCATCTAACTGTAAGTGGTGTATGTCAAACCCAATAGTAAAGACCGCTATCGAGTTCCCGCCGACGGCTGAAATAAAAACAAAAGACAAACATTGTATTGAGTCAAAATGCCATATAATTTAGTATCTAAGGACATATTCTATTTATTTCTGGTTTATTGGGCATGGTTATTGAACCATGGAATACGGAATCCACTGAATTTTTGCAAATTAATATATATTTCTGAAAATTCACACAGCTAATAATATCGTGGTAGTATAATTTCAATACATCAAGATCTATGATAAACTTACAAAAAATGGGTGAAGGCATCGCCAAATCTGTTCCTCTTCATCTGTTCCTCTTCATCTGTTCCTCTTCATCTGTTCCTCTTCATCTGTGAATAGGAGGTCTGAAGAGTCATACAGGCCATGACCTCAGAACACTCCTATTGTGGCAGTACTATTGCGGGAAGGTAAATTACCAGACGATTTACCTTTTCTAACCTAAATATCAGACACAAAATATACTTATTTTTCTTTAAAGTCAAGCACAAATAAATTTTGTCAATCTTCTTAAATAAAAACTTGAATGAAGATATT